GCCCTCTCTGTGGGAGCGCACAGGTCGGTGGGAGGTCATCGGTAGCAGCAGGCGGTCTCAAAGATAACTAGGTCCTATGCCATGGAGCACTTTAAAGGTGGTAACCAACGTTACGGTGTCAGGCAGCGGCTCTGTCTATGGTGATTTTGTGCCCGCCCTGTCAGTCCTTATCCCATCATCGTTAGGTGCGGGGGTTTCTACATGGCGCTACCAATTTAAGTCCTCCCACTGTACATAGATATCCCTCCTGGGATCTTCCACTCGTCCTACAAGTGCTCACCTCCCCACCATTTGAACCTCGGTTCCATTTCGCTCAAATTCCTTTCATTGAAGGTGGCTTTCCTCCTGGCTATTACCTTGGCCAGGAGAATCTCAGAACTTTCCGCTTTATCCATCAGGAAAGATCTCTGCATTTTTCACGGTAACATGGTGGTGCTTCGTTTGGACCTATCTTTCACTCCTAAAGTAAACTCGTGGTTTCACCGGGCCCAGGAGATCATTCTGCTGGACTTTTGTCCGTCTCCAAAACACCACTGGGAGGTACTCTGGCACACACTCGATGTTCGACGTGCTCTTCGTCGTTATATCCATAGGTCGGCTTCCTTTCGAAAGACAGAGGCTCTCATGGTCTCTTTTCATCTGGCCTCTATGGGCCAAGATTTCCTCATCCATGGTGGGCAGCTGGATTAAGGCCTGCATCTCGCCGGCCTACGACCTCCAAGCACAGCCCATTCCGGGCAGGATCCTGCCACACTCCACCCACAGTGTGGCAACTTCGGCGGCATGGGCGACTCAGGCATTAGTGTCAGACATCTGTCGGGCGGCCACGTGGACTTCTTTGTCGCCCTTCATCCGCCACTATAAGATTGATACTTACGCCTTGGCTGAGGCATCGTTTGGGCGGAGGGTCCTGCAAAGCGTCCTCTTGGACTGAGCCTCAGGGAGCAGTCAGCCTCCCACCCCTGGGGTTTGAGCTTGGGTATGTCCCAGCTATGGAGTGTAGACGCAGTGCTCTGGAAAATGGATGTTGTCTTACCTGAACGTCCATTTTCGGGGTGCTGCGGATACACTCCATTCCCTCCCTTCCTTGTTTGGGGCTTCCTGCTTTGTTCCTGTTGTTTGCAGGCTTGGCCGTTTCTGATTCCTGTCTCCGGGCAGTTCCTTTGCTGTGCTGCGCCTTCGTTCAAGACTGGGGAATCATGGGACAAGTGGGTTTGGCCAGAGATGGAGAGAGCAAAAAAATTTAAATAATTCACCCAGTTGCTGTCAGAACATGAGGAATAACCCAGCTATGGAGTGTAGCTGCAGCGCCCTGAAAATGGAGGTTCAGGTAAGGCAACGTCCGTTTTCTGGGTGTTGCATCTCATATCCAAAATATTCTAACTTTTGCTTTTTAATGGCTTTATTTCCCTTTGATTTCCCAGGAGACTTATCACCTCCTCATTTGTGATTTTATTAATCCAGTTTATACATAACAGTCGTCTGTAAATCCACATTTCAAATGCTTCTAGTTTCTTCAAGTGGTTTTCTGTCAAGAGACCAACTCTCAACTCCGTAGAGCAGGATAGAAAAGGTGTAACATCTGGCAAGCCTGATTTTCAGTCTTAGGCTTATATCGTGACTGCAGAAGACCTTTTTCATTTTGAAGAATGCTGTTCAAGCTTTCTCTATCCTTGTCTTTACTTCACTGATCATGTCCCAGCTTTCATGTAAATTAAAACCAAGGTATGTGATCCTTTCAACTTTTTCTAATAGTATTCCTTCTGAATTTATCAGTGGTAAATTAATGGATTGTTTGCTGACCATGATCTTGGTTTTTGAGATGTTAAGCTTCAAGCCATATTTTTCAGATATTTCTGAGACTCTGTTGATGGGGAGCTGAAGGTCTTCATGCTTACTGACAAGCAGAACTGTATCATTAGCATATCTTAAATTGTTGATCTGAACACCATTTACTTTGAGGCCAGCATCAATGTTTTCCAGTGCTTCATTGAAAATTGACTCAGAGTAGATATTAAATAACAGCGGAGACAGAATACAGCCCTGTCTAACCCCTCTTCATATTTCTGCATCATCTGAGTATTTTTGGCCTAGTCTCACATTTGCTAGTCTCAAAATTGCTCTTTTTGCTGATACATTTCACTTTTGAATATGAAAAGGGTATGCTGGTGGTACTGGAGTAACTTCATGATTTGCGTCCTGGTTAGGTTATTCTGATCTGTGTTGTACTCTTCTGATTTTTTAAAATCTATTATATGTATGCTAAGTGAGGAGGGGTGGACATTGTGTCGGAGAAGACCATGATCTCATCAAGAGTCACATTTAAGCCTTGTAGTTTTGGCAGCACAAGGAAACAACAGCCAATTGCCAGCCATCAATATGCCAATCGACCAATAGGAAGGCACCACATAAATACACACATAATAGCCCAAGGACAATTCTGTTGAGCGAGAAGTTTCCTGAGAATTGGCTCCAGCACAAGTCCAAAAGCTCAGAAGATCCTCTGGTCCCGGTGACTGATCCAGATTGGATCTTGCAACATTATCCTGGGACATGTATACTTCATTTGTAATATATTTTCTGCCATTTAACCTAACTTCCATTCTGTCTCTGAAGCCCTGAAGTAGATGCAGCAACTTTTCCCATGCATAATCAAAAGTTATAATCTCATGCAGATATCCCAGGTAAATTTGTATGTGCTAAGCAATCACAATTATTTTTTAAAGCTTTGACTGATTAAAAAAATTAATTGCCTCAAAAATTAATTTTGCTTTTCCATCATTATACGGGCCTGGTGGCTCAGCAGACTGATAGCATTGTGATTAACACCAGCTGTCTGCAATTACTGTAAATTCGAATCTCACCAGGCTCAAGGTTGACTCAGCCTTCCATCCTTTCTAAGGTAGGAAAATTGAGGACCCAGTTTGTGGGGGAAATAAGCTGACTTTGTATAAATATACAAAAGTATGAAGGCTATTGCTTAACGCATTGTAAGCCACCCTGAGTCTCTGGAGAAAGGCGGCATATAAATCAAATTAAAATAAATAAAAAATAAAAAATAAATTATAAACAATCACTTATTTATTTGTGGCAAAAACATAAATATTAGAATTATAAGAAACACATATAATGCACTCAAGTGAAATAAATCAATCCCCCAAATTGTATCAAAACTAAAATAAAGTTAGAAGTAAATGATATCACAGTAAAAAAGATATTCAAGAAACAGAACAAGCAAAAACAGAACTTGCAATTCTGTTGTCTATTATAGCCAATTCCCTATTCCTTTTTACTGACTGGCTATGCCTAAGTATGGACCTATCTAGAAGAGAGAAGGTAAGACAAAATAACACAGCTTGGATTCTTATTAACTAGTCTTCAAGAACATTCATAAGCAGAAGGACCACTAGAGGAAGCTTAGAAGTCTTGACCCAACAAATTTCATTGTCTAATAATAGCAAAATTGCCTCCATGAGGAGCAAAAGTATACTTAACAGTCTGGTTAAGGTACTCTCAAAAGTAGGTAGATAGTCCTCAATCTATCACCACAATTGAGCCCAACATTTCTATTTTCAGCTAAACAAGAAAGTTAAAAGAGAGTTTTGTCCCATTTTACGACTTTCTTGCCACAATGTTAAGTGAATCACTGCAGTTTTCAAGCTAGTAACACTGTTGTAAAGTGAGGGTGGCTTCCCCATTGACTTTGCTTCTCAGACGGTTGCAAAAGGTGATCACATGACTCCAGGACACTGCACAGTTGTCAGGAGTCCAAATTTTGATCATATGCATGGGGATGCAATGGTTCCAAGTGTGAAAAACAATCTTAAATCACCTTTTTGTGTTGTAGTAACTTTGAATGGTCACTAAACAAAAGGTTAGTCGAGGACTACCTGTATAACATAATTCACACCTAAACTCTTGGCACTCAGTGCAAATTGATCATTGGTGCCATTGGCTTTCTGACTGGGCAGGAATATATAGGTAATGCCTGTACTGATTGAAAACACAATGGGAAGGAAATATGAATGTGGCTCTCGCAGGAGAGCATATTCATCTCTTGTCAGTGATAACCATAATTTTTTCTTGTCAAGAGGTTTTGCCCATTATGAAATCATTATCTTTTTAATTGAATTGTTTCTAATTGGCATGTTTGTCCTTATGCATATTTATCTGAATAAATTAATTGCAAGATGATGCATTATAAAGGCTTTTATCCTGGCAACTTGAAATATGATTCCTTCATACCAGTGTAAAACTCTTACTCCTCATTCAGTTGGCAAGTTTGCTTGTGTACCACCTACATTGCTTTTGTGCAGTAAATCAGGTTTTTCAAATTGTACCCTTGTTCTCACTAGGGTTTCATGAGAACTTGATGTGGTTCCTTGAGAGATTAAAGGGGGTGGGGAAGTTCAGACATACTCAATGTTCTCTTACTACAGTGTTACCTCTTGTTGGGAGTGGCAGAATTTGTTAAAAAAATATAAATTGTTTCCATAACTTGAAAAAGCTTGAAAATCCCTGTGCTAAATCACATGTAGTGTTCAATGAGAGCATGATGCTTTTTACTATGTGTGGAATTCAACTCAATTGACATAAAGATATAGACAGATTTTAGTATTTTCCTTTTCCTTTTTTGACTTTAGTTGAAAAATTAAGAAATCTATCATCCTCAGGTATCTAATTTTGTCAATATTCTATGGCTAATATAATAACTCAACATTAACTATGCATTTGATACAGATACAGTAAAATACAATATGCATATATATTTAATCTTAATATATAGGTTTTTTATTATGTCCAGAATATCACAGAAAGTCACAATTGAAAGATAGGCAGCCATATAAATAAATATAAGATAGTCTGTTAACTTCTGAAGTACAATTATTGTAGTCTTCTGTAGCAAAAGAAAGAGTTCTATAACATTAAATACAATAAACATACTCATAAAGAAAATGTCATATTTAATTTGTGGAATATTGTTTTCATTAATTTTACAGGAAGATCTGACAACAAAAGACATTGAAAACATAATTGATGAACTGAAAGCTGGAAATATTCCAAAACCTGGACCAAGGTATATTATTTGCATAATAAAATACCATGAGAAAGCAAGAAAAAAAATCTACTAAAACAATCCTGTAGAACAGTGGCCCCCTACCTTTTGGGCACTGGGGACTGGTTCCATGGAGAGGGGTTTTTACGCTGACTGGAGGGGCTGTGGTATCACATGCTGCCTGCATCCTGTGGACTGGCATGTTTCTGGCATGCCAGTCCACAGCCCGGGTGTTGGGGATCCCTAGAAAGTTCTTAGGATATATATTTCAGTGTAAGATTAAATATAAAATCTTATTACCAGGACATCTTGCTTTTTATGTTCCATGCTATGGTGGTCTATAAGAAGCTGCTTCTTAATTTTTTTTATTTTAAAATAAAAAATTTTTTGAGTATAAATATTAAAAAAAACATGACATACACACAACAAACATTTATACAACATATAAACCAGTGGTTCTCAATCTGTGGGTTGGGACCCCTTTGGGGGTCGAACGACCCTTTCACAGGGGTCGCCTAAGACCATTGGAAAACACATATTTTCAATGGTTTTAGGAATAATTTTATGGTTGGGGGTCACCACAACATGAGGAACTGTATTAAAGGGTCATGGCATTAGGAAGGTTGAGAACCACTGATATAAACAAAAAAATTATGTTTCCTTCTTAAGCATTGTTTCAAAGTGACATTCTGCTTGTTATATATTTCTTCACCTCTCTCCTTAGTGTAATGACATTTTTTATACCGGCAATATTTCCCCTCTAGGTTTTTTGTTTATTTCTAATTTTTAACCAATTATACCATTTATTCCATATTTTATAGTAATCTGATTCTTCTCTTTCTTGTATTTCTTTGGTTAACCTATCCATTTCAGCACATTCTAGAATTTTTTCTATTAAATCTGTTTCGTTTGGCGTTTTTTTTCTTGCTTTCAATTTTTTGCATATATTATTCTTGCAGCTGTTAGTATGTGGATTGTGAGATATTTAATATCTTTAGGGTATGGTTTATTAAAAATTCCTGGTAAAAACGTTTCTGGTTCTTTATCTGTCTATGTTTCTGTTATTTGTTCCAGCCATTTTTTGATGTTAGACCAAAATTTCTTTGCTGCCGGGCATGTCCACCATAAATGATAGAAGGTTCCTTGTGTCTTCTTACACTTCCAGCAAATCGAACTATTTTTAGGCTGTATTTTTGCTAGTCTGGTTGGAGACATGTGCCACCTATAAAATATTTTCAGTTGGTTTTCCTTGTACGCCACTGCTCTTGTTAGTTTTATATTTACTTGCCAAAACTTTTCCCATTTTTCCAAATTTGTGTTTGATGTTTTGAGCCCATTTAATCATCGTTTCCTTGACTGTCTCTTCTTCCATTTTATAGCGTAAAAGAAATTTGTAAATTCTGCTAATTAGTTTGTTTTCTGAATCTAATATAATTTTGTCTATTTCTTGTTTTTGTTTATGAGTTTCATATATTTTTATGTGTTCTCTATATTTAGATTGTCTTTGGGTATAAGTCCACCAATCTATTTCCCTATCTAAGTCTGTCTCCAATTGTTGTTTTGTCTTCAATTTACCTTGATAGTCAATTAAATCTTTATATCTTATTATTTTTGTCTTATCTGTTAGATTTGGGTGTCTAATTGATTCTACCAGTGATAACCAACTTGGTATTTTCATATAGTGCTGTTTTTTAATTTTAAGCCAAATTTGTAGTAATGAGTTTCTTATTGTGTGTCTTTTGAAGTATGAATGTGTTTCGTATCTTTCATCCCACATAAAGGAATGCCAGCCAATTTGAAGTTCGTGTCCCTCAATTGTTAAAATTCTAGGATTTTTTAATTCTATCCAGTCTTTGACCCAAGACAATACTGCTGCTTGATAATATGTCTCCCAATCTGGCAGTGCAACTCCTCCTCTATCTTTTGTGTCCTGAAGCAGCTTAAATTTTATTCGTGGCCTTTTCCCTTGCCATATGAATTTACATGTCATTTTATTCAAAGTTTCAAAGAACGATTTATCTATTTTTATTGGAGTAACCTGAAACAGGTATAAGAATTTAGGCTGCTTCTTAATTTTTAAGCAGTAGAGAAAGATGCTTGTAGGCATTTTTGAGAAGTAATATCAAGTATTTGCCATATTTTATTGGAGATAGATTGCTTTTCTTATATATGAAATATTTTTCTCATTTCTAAATATGGTAACATTCTGTCAAGAGTTTAATTTGGTAGCCCTATATCCCCAAACTTATTTCAGATGCCTAAACTTTTTAGGCAAAGTTTCAGCCAACTATTATCAATATATTTTGATGTTGTATAGCAGGGCTGACAAACTTGCGGCCCGTGGGCCAGATGCGTCACACGCTGGCCACATCCAGTTTAGCAAAGGGGGGGGCAGTCCCGATACGTGACGCTGATGTGATGACACGAGTCTGACACCCCTGTTGTATAGGATAACGTTAATTAAATGTATTTGGTAGTTATATTGCACTGTGCATCATTGATTTGTGATGATGATTTGGTTTATTTTCATCAGAATCTGCTTTTTGAAATTTCAGGGTTTCTTAGTTGTTGAGAAACCAGTTCCTTTTGTTACTTAATGTTCCTTTTAAGAACAAAGATATGTCTATAGGAAATGTAAAGAAAAGAAAATAATATTCATACTAGGTAGTCATAGATTCTAATCTTGTTCAGAGTTACTCTTAAGTAAACCTTACTGATTTCAGTGGAATTACACTCAAGCAGACATATACTTCAGTGTGCAGGTAGCCCTCAATTTATGACAAATTGCTTAGCAATCATTCAGTTACGAAGGACCTTGCCAATGATACTTATGAGGTTCACATGGCCACATTTTGGGCAGTCAGCAACTGGCCCACATTTGCAGCTTCTTGCAGTCACATTTGCTGGCATTTACAACTGACATTTATTTCTGGTTTTCAGTAAAATTGGTCCGTTGTCAACAATTACTTCACTGAATGACTGTGGTGGTTGCTTAACAATCACTCCAAAAAAGTTGTAAAATTAGGTTGGTCATGTGGTGACCCACTTTACAACTGTCATGACTTGCAGCCATAATGGTCAGGCTTCATTACAGTCATTAAGTTGAGCATTATCTGTAATCAGAAATAATGTGTACATTTGGCAACTAAAACCCTCCCACCCACGCATTTCTATTTCTTTCATTCACATTTTATCTTGTATTGAACTAAAAGATGCTTAAAACAAATCATTGAAAGTTGAAACAAATTTTTGTGGATATTTCAGAATGACTGAAAATATATTGAACAATATATTCAATATAAATTCTAATATTTAATTTCTATTTTTTTTTTCCAGAAGTGGACGTTTCTCTTGTGAACCATCTGGTGGTCTGACTTCTCTGACACAACCACCCAAGGGACCTGGTTTTGGAGTTCGGTCAGATCTTTAAAACTATTGCTCTAAGTGTAAAAATATTGAAAAAATAAATTCTAAAATATGGACGATGGAAATGCAAATTTATATTGTTATTTTAAACAGGCTAAACGTGTATTTTATTTATTAGAAAAAAGAAATGGAAGAAATCCTATTTATTTATTTAGCATATGGCTGGTCACACACAATATTAAAACACTTCATTTTTATAGGTTAAAACAATTAAAACAAGAACAGTAAGAAAACCTAAGAGGAAAACAGAAATAACATTTCAGAGTTTAATGTCGAGTTTGGAGATCCAGTCAGTAGCTGTCGTTACGCAAAATCCAAAAATTCCAGTTAATCAGAAACAGTGTAGATCAACTATATTTATAATTATTAACAGTTATATCGATGTTTCACTCCCAATATTATATGTGACATATCAGTGATGCATAAAATAAATGTAATGGAAATGATAGCATATTGCTCACTAATCACAAGATTTTACTAACAGAAATGAAGTTTTGGCATCCCACAATACAGGGTTAATTGGTTCACTGATGAAGTAGCCAGAATGCTATAAATATTCTTTGGAGATAATGGCACAAAGAGAATTTTTAAAAAGTGATTCTTAAAAAAATACTTGTCTACTGTTAAATGAGAACTGAAGGAAAAGCTAGACTAACTTTAGTCTTTAAAAAAAGCCTTGCACTTATTTCCTATTATTTCTGAGAGAATTGCCTTTCCACAAGCTAAAAATTGAGTTGGTCTGGAATCTTAGAAAAGAACTGACATTACAGTGACTATTGTGTCACTCTGTCCTTTGTTTTTATTATTCATTTATCATGGGTGTTTTATTTAATTTCTAATTATGTATATGAAGCGTTGTCCTCTTGTGGCAGCATACAAATCAGGTAGGCAAATAATTATATTAAAATGGCATATCTATTAATGCCAACTATAGCTATAACTATATCCAGCCAAGCTGACTACCAAAAATTTTAAAATGTAGACAATCTTGCTTCATAATATGTATTTTATGTGTATTATAAGTATAAAATTTAAATTGTGTACATCACCACATACATAAAATGGATAGCTTATAAATTTAGTAAATAAATAAATGGAAAAAATGTTTTTTTTAAATTTCTGATTGACAGGAAAATGAATTAATCATCAATTTGTCAATAATGTCAGTCTGAAAAAAACCAAACTCTATATCAGATGGTGACATACAATGAAAGAACTAAGCAATACGTTTTATTGCATACACCTCCCAATAAGATATTTTGTAACTGCTTACTGATATAGTTTGGTCAGAATCTAAATTCTTCTGTTGCTTGCCATACTTCTGGAGATATCCATAAATTCTTGTAGCTTTCTGTTGTAATGTGATCTACATTTATTTTCTATTAGTTTCTGATAAATTTTGTTGTTAGTTGCAAAGTTGTGTCTGACCCATCGCGACCTTATGGACAACTTTCCTCTATGCTTTCCTGTCTTCTACCATCCCATGGAGACCATTTAAGCTCACGTAGACTGCTTCAGTGACTCTATCCAGCCACCTCATTCTCTGCCATCCCCTTCTTCTTTTGCCCTCAATTGTTCCCAGCATTAGGCTCTTCTCCAGTGAGTCCTTCCTTCTCATTAAGTGGCCAAAGTATTTCATTCTTATAAATAGAAAAAATCTAAAGTATTTTGACTGCTAATATACCTATTGTATAGAATTTCAGTATAGTCTTTGCATCTTGCTGATCTTTGAACTAGTTATCTGTCAAGTGGGATCTTTTAGTATACCACATTCTTCTATGTTCAGAAATCTTTTGGAAGACTCTCCCTTTTTTTCTATAATCTGTTTCTATTCTCAGTATTTTTACAGATATCATAATTCTGCTTGTAAGTTTCTTTCCATGATCTCAGATTTTCTTAGTTTTGGCTTCTCTTCTTGACAATTTTCCATCATCTGTTCTGACATGCATTATTGTTTCATCTGCTGCATGATCCTTTACAATCTCTTTTCATATTGACCCTTAACAATTTACTTGATTTCATTCTACAGTTCCTCTGGTTCCTTATAAATGATGTTCAGGACTTGAAAGCAATACTTGATGTTATCCTTGAAAATGGTGGTGCGTTCATGCTTAAGATCATATTGTAGAAACTCCTTGGCTTTCTTTCACTTTAGCTTGACTTGGAACTTGTACATGAGCAGTTGATCTGCTTCACAATCAACCCCGGCCACATTTTTTTTCCTATTATAACAACTTTTCCAATTATCGCCAATAATGTAGTGTTTAATTTTTGTGTGCTGTGTCTGGAGATGTCCATATATGTAGCAGTTGTTTTGGTTATTTGAAGAATGTATTAATAAAGAAATTATTGGATTGTCAAAAACTAAATTGTTCTTCTTCATTTTTGTTTCTTAGGCTGTATAGTCTAACATTGTTTTCCTCCTTTTCCAACTATAACGTTCCATTCTCCAACCACAAGCAGCATATTTTATTTCCACATTCTGTTCATTTCAGATTGAACTTGATCATAAAATTCATTAACCTCTATACTGCATCAATTATTGAAGCAAGGCTGTCCTTGAAGTGTAAGACATATTTTGTCACTGACTAGACTCTACCCCAGTAACTGTCTTTGCTATAATCCTATGAAAGAAATGCCATTTTTTCTTATTTCCTTAATAAAAACAAACACAAAACTACTCGATTCATTATTTCAGTTCATTAATACCTGAGATGTCACTGTGTAGTTGATTCATTATATGATTTCACTGTGTTGAGATTTTTCATATCCATGTTTATCTTCTATGTTCCCACTGTAATTCTGTTTTCAGTTTCCGATTTTATTTTCCTACATTGCAACTTTCCCGCAACTAGATTGGCTTCAATCTAGACTTCATAAAACCATTAGTAGTACTCAAAAAGCTCAACTGTTCTCAATATCATATTTGCTGCCGTTTAGTTAAGTGCCACTTGGTCCATGGAGCCCATCGTCTGGCATTATATCATCAATCACTTTATTCTGTCTATCCAGGTAGTTTTCATGGTTAAATACAGGAATGACCTTACCATTGCATTTTCCCATGCAGTATGAAATATTTGCAGTTGTTGCTAAAGCAATCATCCATTTCCTCTTTTTCCTATGTGACTGCTTCCGTATATAAATCCCTCTCAGCTTTAAAAGGGCACCTAGGATGACCTTCACATCCCGGATGATGTAACTATATTGTATTGTTGTAAACTCCTGGCGTTCATAGCCCATTCTCCCACGAACAACTACACACTCACCAAGATGAGGCAGCATAGCTTGACTTGAAGGACATACACATAAATTATCTTAACACAATATTTATTTGCCTTATTTCAAATGAATTTATAGTTTGGTATGAATAGCTAGATTCTCAAACTAAATCCATTCATCAATTACCCTAAAATGTTACTGCAAATCTGTTTTTAAGGTCACCAATTTATGATATTGCAAATTCAAATTCATTTTATGTATGTATGTCTCAATGTGTGTGTGTATGGGATTTTATAATCAAGCTAATTCAATATTCAAAAAGATACCATTACTTTTTTCATGGATAAGAGGATTCTCTGGTTTTTATTTTGTTCTCATCTGAATTCTTTTTTATTGAGTGATTATATTTCAAAACCAGCTTTCTTTTAAGAAAATATAATTAATGAAGTTTTTAGGCCAAACCTAATGTAGTTTTAAGTCAGTATCAGTAGCAACTAGCTAGAATTCTGATTAAGCAATCACTTTCCTTCTGAATAATTATTGTCATGTTCCCATTATATAAATTTTGATTGATATTCTGGGCATTATTTCATTGGTTTATATGAATATGATGTTTTATAGATTGTCTTCCATCTAAAGTCTAAATGCTACAAAACTGAATGCATGTTGTGCTCATTGATCAGTGTGTAGTGTATATGACAACCTTTCAAGAATAGATACAAAATTATCATGCAAAGTTTTAAATGAAAATGGAATATAAAGAATTAAGCATTCTTTATTAAAGATTCCCACTTATGGGCGCTGTTCCTCTGATCAATGACAAAAATCATTTATGATACTGCTTTCAGTTATGCATGGGAACTGAAAGAGCAGAAAGAAAGAAATGGGAGAATATTATCTTCAGATGAGATATTAATATTCAACTTCGTTGCATGTTGACATGACATGTTTGTTGTGGTCAAATGTGTATTATGGCAAACTATACTTTTCTATGCATTCTCTACACAACAAAATTAAAGAATCCTCTGCATAGGGGGGATGAGAAAAAAAAAGAAACCTACATATTGTGAAGGTTTAGAAAAAGGGGATTACATAAGGATATAATAAAATAAAATCACTAATTTAAAAAAATCTGTAAACTGATGGATTAAACTATTCAGCATAATATCTCTATTTCTCATTCTCCAAAATAAAACTACTAAATCTGTTAAAGAAGGAAATAATGCCTTGAATTATATTCAACTAAATCTGTGGCACATCTCCTTTTCTCATAAAATCTTTTGGAAAATTGAGGAATCCTCTGGAGGAAAATTAAGGGAATTCATGGATTGAATCTAAGTGAAAGTCTTACTGCAAAAAGAATAAGCTTACATAACACTGAGTGAATCATGTTGATATTTAGGCTCTTTTTTTCTTGAAATTTTATATTTAAGAGGAATTATTCAGACCAAGATAACAATTTGATTTTTGTTCTTATTGGAGATTTGGTTTTTTTACTGTGACATGGGCAAACATCTAGGGTACATAAGAGAGGCAGTTTGGTATTAAGACATCAACCTACAAATTGGAGAATTCCAATATCCTGTTCTGCTTTAAACACAAAGCCAGCTTGGTGACAGCTTGGGCCAGTTGCGCTCTCAGTCCTAGAAAGATGGCAGTGGCAAACCAAGAAACTACAGGGGCTTGCCCAAGCATTACCAGGAATTAAAGCTTTCTTGAAGGCACACATTTATTATTTGTAAGGCCAAAAAAACTGAATGACCAATAGCTGGCAGCAATACAGTTAAACCTATAAATAATGTCTACTCTGTTACAATTAAAATTTTGCAATGAAATTAAAAGCAGC